CCCCAAAACCCCAAAACCCCACGAATGCGATATGTTGAGTTTAAGTAAGTTTGAAAAATTTTTAACGAGCTTAATGGATTTAGATTTTTTTAAACAATTATAAGAATCAGTGCAACAGAAACGAAGAATTAGAAGATGAAGTTGACCAAAGTAAATCATAAGAGGGTGAAATATTTGGAAAGTCTAATTAAAACTATATATATTCTGATACTAATAAAGATTCATAAATCGACAAAAACGCAGATTAAGTGTTTAGTATGGAGTTTCTAGAACAATCAAATAGTTAACAAAAAGATACAATAAATAAAGAGGATTAGGTAAAAATTGAAACAGGAGGTCTAGATATGCAGTTCATATTATAGTAATTTCAGAATTTCTAATAGCATCATTTACCATCAATCAAAGAACATAGTTCTATTTTTCAGACTACAGATAGCAATGATAATAAAAATATCTTTGGATCTCATTTCATTACTCCATGTAAGCTAACTAATACAGATGATGAACTCAATATATCCAAAAGTGATGGTGATTCAAACTAAACTATTAAGCAGGTGCTATAAGTTTAGGCTGCAGCTTAGTTGACTTACTCTTAAGAAATAATAATTGAAGCTTTTAAAAACTAGGAAAACTGGGACTTAAAACTGGTCAAGCATCGCCAAACTATAATGGGCTTTCTGGTAGGGATGTTTAAAGACAAGGACAATGAACCTATGTAAGTGGACCAGATTTGTGAATATATCGAACCATACTACAAGAATCTAAGGAGGAAAGAGGGTGGAAGATACACAGGCAAGCTTTAGAACTGTGTGATAGCCGCACTATTTACTCCTGGAGGTATGTTTAAAAGAGACTGCAAAGGATTTTGGAGAATGAATGTAAGTATTGATATCAAGATGTGATCTCATTCATTAGATGGAATTAGCAGAGGAGTATGATAATGAAAATTTGGGTAAGACAGTTTCTAGCTTTAATGATAAATCTCAAGTGCCATCTCAAAAGTTTAAAAGGGACGGCAATTAAAAGACTTGCAACTAAACTGATGAAATCGACCATTCATTTGCTAAGTAAAAAAGAGACAAAAAATCTTAGAGGGAACTTATTGATAGGTTTGAGTTGACATATCAGAAAGTATGTGATAAACTCGAAGACCCTTATTTTGTAAGTAACTATGAAGGTATAATAATATTGTATAGGAGATAGAACAAAGCCAAAGTGTTTAAGAGTATTGGAATAAATTGACAGACACTTAGAAAGGTGGCTATCTACATGCCTTCATAGTTTTAAGGCCATTTCTTAAGAAATCCTTGAGGCAGTAGGAGAAGGTTCATCTTGGCATTCAATTGCTGCTAAAGTCAGGTATCTTTACTAGAAAAGCCAATGGAAGACAGAGATAAGGACCCCTTGATGGAATACCTATAATCACTTAGGAAGATGCAGGCAAGCTTATTGAACTTGAACGAACCATTAACATGATGAACGACAAGGTAAACAATATTCTACTAAGTACAAAGGAGCAGCTAGATTTTTGTAGTCACAAAGTGCAAAAACAGCAAATACCTTTGGCTCTAAGCTGAAATTAAGATATTTAATAAACCAATAAATTTATTATAATTTTAAATAAAATAGTTACTAGAGGGGTTTTGGGGTTTTGGGG